GGTTTGTGTCCCAGTTGCTCCTCTTTTGATCCAGCTCTGCAATAGTGTAAGAAAGCAGTGGAGGATGGCCCATGTGCTTGGGAGACCTTGAGAAAGATCCTGGCTCCTGGCTTCGTACTGGCCAAGCTCTGGCCATTGTGGCCATTTGGAGAGTGAATGAGCTAATGGAAGATCTTTCTCTCTGTTTCTCCCTCTCTCTATCTGTAACTCTACCTCTTGAATAAACAAACAAAATCTTCTAAAAAATAATATTCACATTGACACTACAGATACAATGTTATACTCTAGACTGTCTTGTTTCTTCTTTTGAATCTCCAAAGAACCTGCTTTGGTTTTTAGTATTCTTTTTGCTGACAGACTTAAGCTTTCCATTATCTTCTATACCTATATACTTATCAAAAATAACCCTTCACCTCTTCTCCTAACAGGTGTTCATCAGGCTGGACATGTTTAATGCTACTGATATGAAGGAATTAATTCAAAGATCAATTTACAGGTGTATGTTAAAAAGAACACATGATATGTGAGGTAGCAAACAAGACACCTGTGTGTGTTTGTGTGTGAGAGAGCGAGAGCAAGAGCGAGAAAGAGAGAGACAAGTGAGAGAATGCAAGGATATGAAGCATTTACTTTCTTTCAGCTTTCTTCTGAATCAGAAAGCCAGCAGAAAGCGAATTGTTGTGAAAGGGCACATACTAAAGGGATCAGTGTACATTTGGGGGGACGTGTATCATGTCTCATGTCTGTAAGTACAAGAACCCCCCCTCGTTACTAACACTCATGTGGGTATGAGTTAAAGGGGTGTGGGTCATAGGATCCAATTCAAATTACACCTTGTATTTCTGATCCAGAATTGCCACTATAATCCAAGTGAAAAATAACTTTAAGGTCAATTTTCCATTTTCTGTGTGTGTGGCATGCGTTTTCTTGGTGCAGAAGCACTAATATCAAGCAAACTTTACATGATAAAACAATAAAGCAGAACACCATTCTAGATCCAGAGAGAAGGGCCACAGGAATGCAAGCTGCTTATGAGAACAGACACAATGTTAATGTTGATTTACAAGAGAAAGGGGAGTGATTGTTCCACTGACACTGGTTCTCCTGATAGCTTCAAGGAGAACAACAAAGACATTGTATCCTCTGGCCTGGTCACTCTTGGTCCAGCAGCCTTAGTTCCCAGTGAATGAAGCCACTGAGGTGTTCGATGAGATATCTGTACTTTTGGTGACATGCAAGGAACGGTTGTTTTAAAAATATGACAAACGGCAGAGGCTCACCTACTGTTCCCAAAGGTAAACATGTGAAGAAAACACAGCTTTAAATTTCACAATTAAGAACTCCAAAATAGATAATTGTGTGACCCTTGGACTTTAAACAGGAAGTAGAAACAAGAAACGGCTGCTCCACAGGGGGAATTGTTAGTTAAACAGTTGCTTGATTTTACAACTCTCTTCTTGTTCACCCCTGGTCAACTTGCTGGGATCACAAGTGGGGATTCAGAGGCCTCATTTCAATAACATTAATGATGCTACAGTAATAATAATAAGCAATATGTAAATAATAGTAATAAGAGTGATGACAGTAACTGAAGTTTGTACAGCATTACCTCTCTGTTCACTCTTAATTTTTCTGGTGAACCACATGATATCAGCACTGTTCCAAGATAAATTTTGCTGCGAACCTCAGACCGTGTCTATTCTACGCTTATTTTGACTGTGTATGTGCCAAGATGGACAGAAACAGGTTCTAGGCAGAGGATGTGGGCATCCTGAAAGAGTTCTCCACAAGTGACCTCTCCTTCTTTAATCTTAAAGCAAAGCTAGCTCAGGGGTAGAACTGTTTGAATGACCCGTCTTTCAGAATATGTTTGCAGTGAAATTCATGAGACATGCTTCACATTTTCCAACCTTGTTTTGCTACATTGCACCTAGGGCCTTGAATAGATGAGCATTGCTATCATTGCATGTTCTTTGAGGATTAAGGGTGATGGTGTCTACTGCCTGCACTCCTATCCTGAATGCTTTGCTTATAATCTCTGTGCAGCATAACAGGTTCTTGGTCCTCCTTAATTTCTCACCGTGAAAATCAAGATGAATTGTGCCACATCAGGGGACTGGTAGAAGGGTTGATGGGACTGATACAGTGAGGCCTTCGGAACACAGTAAGAGCTAACGCATGTTGGCTGCTTGTAGCTGCTCTTCCAACTCCTCATACCAGGTGTCTACACATTTGACTTGTTGATCCCAAAACGAAGCAAAGAATTATTTCCAAGGATATTAAGTTCATACACAATCATTGTAGCGATAAAGGTAATAGTGCCTAAGACTTATGAAGTGCTAATTGCTGTACTGTTTCTTTTATATGTAATTTCATTTAATCTTCAAAATCCTATTAGATAAATACCATTGCTCTGTCCTTTCACTAATGAGAAAGCCAAGGCTTTAATATTTAAGAAGTCAAGCACTGTCTTTGGGCACATAGTTGGTGAGTTCCTAAGTCAGGGACTTCAAACTTCCTGTCTTAACCATTCGATTTCACCTGTGAACTACTTATGCATTTCACCTCTGCAGTTCATAGCACACAAAAGCTGCACATACTACCCAGCCCTCCACCATCCCATCATCAAAGAGCACCACCTTGAATGGGTTTTGGTAAGCACACACTCCCACATATTTGAAACCACTGCTCCTTTAAAAGCCTATGTTCTCCATTTGCTTCTGAAGCATGAAAGACAAACTGCCACCACGTACCGAAGATGTGATTCACTAACTGTTAGAATTAGAGTGCCCCTCATTTAGAGTTTAATAATTTTATTTTTTTTCAATTGTATGTTTTTTTTCCTGGCATAAAGATTTCTGAATTTCATTAAGTGGTACAGGTTATAATCCCCCCCAAAACCCACAAAATATCTGTACACATTATGTGACCTTTTTTTTTTTTTTTTTTTTTGACAGGCAGAGTTAGACAGTGAGAGAGATAGACAAAGGTCTTCCTTCCATTGGTTCACCCCCCAAATGGCCGCTATGGCCAGCACTGCGCTGATCTGAAGCCAGGAGCCAGGTGCTTCCTCCCAGTCTCCCATGCGGGTGCAGGGCCCAAGCCATCCTCCACTGCTTTCCCAGGCCACAGCAGAGAGCTGGACTGGAAGAGGAGCAACTAGGACTAGAACCCGGAGCCCATATGGGATGCTGGTGCCACAGGCGGAGGATTAGCCAAGTGAGCCATGGCACTGGCCCCCCAGGTTATGTGAACTTTAATAACTATTTGAATACAGAATGTATGGGGCTGGCAATCTGATGCAGTGGTTAAAGCTGCTGCCTGTGACACTGGCATTCCTAAGGGCATTGGTTAGAGTCTGATCCAGTTCCCTGCTAATGCACCTGGGAAAGCAGTGGAGGATGGTCTAGGTCCTATGGCCCCTATACCCACATGGGAGACCTGGAAGAAGCTCCTGGCTCCTGGCTTTGGACTGACCCAACTCTGGAAGTTGCAGACATTTGGGGAGTGAACCAGCAGATGGAAGCTCGATTTCTCTGTCTCTCTCTCTCTCTTGCTCTCTTTAAACTCTGCCTTTCAAATAAGCAAATAAATCTTTAAAAAATAAATACAGAATGTATTTGGTTAGATGGTATCCAAGATACTGATTCTAATGTTTTATGTTTCACTGTTTATATTCACATTAAAAAATAAAATAATCCCCATTGTTCAGAAATTTAAAGGTGGTAGGTAATATTAATTTAATAATAAATTTTCATCCTCTATCTTTCCTCTAGTATGTAATTCAGATTTACTTCTCACAGGCAATCCTGCAAGTTCTTGTTGATCTTCATAGATATATTTGCATATACATAATAACACACATTTATACATTTATATACACATGAGTGTATCTCATGATATTTATACGTATACATATTGAATGGTAGCATACTCCTCATGTCAACCAGTATCATGTTGGATTTTTACATATTATTAAGATTGCTTCATATTGATACCAAGGAGTTCCTGTTTTTATTTTATAGATGTGTATTTTATTTTATGAATGAACTGTAATTTCCCTCCGTCCCTTATTAATGGCCATTAGACTGTTAGCAGTTTTATGCCATTCCAAATGAAGCTGCAATGCATACGCTTGCATATCCATCAGTGCACATCAGGATGAGCCTTTCACCCCTGCAGCATAAATTTCTAGAAGTACAAAATTGAAGTACAATATTGGGTAAAGGGTATCTTTGTTTTTAGTTTCGATAGATACTGCCACATTTCTCCAAGACTATTCCAAATTATATTTATTATAAAATGATGAAAGTTTCTAAGTTAGTTTTCCATTGATGCTTGGCGGGGTAAGCACTGGTGTTTCATGCTTACTTGAACTTACACATTACACATTTTGATGACATTAGTAGGCTGCTTAGTAACTGTGTTAAACTATATAACCCTCAGATTAGAAAATGAGATAGCAAATAATGAAAATAAAGACTTTTTAACTGTTGTCTCAGATCTGAGCTGGTAAACTTGTACCCAAAGCGCAGTGCAGATCTTGGAAGACAGCTTCAATCATCGCAGAAGATCATCTCACTAACATAACTTTCAGTTTCAGAAAAACCACACTGCCCTCAGTGACTTTATTTCTGTACAAATATAACTTTTTGTAGTAGATCGACAAGGCATCTTACTTGCCATTTTCCCTTTAAGAGATTAAAAACCCTATCGAATAGCAGAGTTTGCCAAAAAGTGTAAAATCACTTCCCGAGTACACACAATGTGATCTGAATTTTTTATGACTGACTCGCCCAACAACTCCACCATGTATCAACCCAGATTCAGGGATCAGAGAACTGGCTCAGCACACTTAGCTCCAAGTGATGCAAGTAGCAAGAATAAGAAAGGAAGGGGAAACTCCCACAAGTACTGGGCACTAATGAAGTAGAAAAAAGACATCATCTAGTGAAAGAATTCAATATGCAATAGACGTGTAATCCATGCTGTAGTCCTACCTCCAAAGCAAATGACAAGGAAGGAATCAGTGGTTTGAGGTGACCAAGTCTGAACAGCATCAGGAACATCAAGCAACGAAGGGTTTCCACACTAGCAGCTTTGGGTCTGAAATAAATGTCATTTCACATGCATCAGCTTTGAATACATGCCTCGTATGCTCATAGGTTATTGTCAATATAGTAACAAGCATTTATTTTAATTCTAACAAATATATAGTATTTGGACATACTTGCATATCCGTGTGAAGCTGAAAAAGATAATGTGTCTTTATACAGAAATTCTGTTACCAGTTTATTGCTTAGTTTGAGCATTGAGGGCCCAGTGAGGGTTACTGTCAGCTGGTCAGCAAAGTATTCAACTTTGAACCTCCAGCGTGTAAAGTGAGGCTCCCATCACTGCCTCAATACCCTTTGCACTCACTCCCTAACAAAATGACCCATTTAGGAGAACTGATATGGTAAACCACTCTAAAATAACAAAGAGATAAAAACCAAAATCTTTATATTTATAGTAACTACACTATAAAGCCACACAAATACCAATATTTTACTGCTTTGTGCAAAACTCAACTGAGTAAAAGAAAAAGTGAAATAACTTCACATCTTGCCTTTGATCCAGAAGAAATCCAATGGATGTCAAGGTCAGGATAATGAAGCAGACCCTCAGAAGGAGCGTTACCTGTGACAGAACCTGTCAGACAAATACAGAGCTCAGTGGTCCCCTTAGCAGTTATTAGAAGCAGCATTAAGAAGGCCGGCACCGCGGCTCACTAGGCTAATCCTCCGCCTTGCGGTGCTGGCACACCGGGTTCTAGTCCCAGTCGGGACGCCGGATTCTGTCCTGGTTGCCCCTCTTCCAGGCCAGCTCTCTGCTGTGGCCAGGGAGTGCAGTGGAGAATGGCCCAAGTGCTTGGGCCCTGCACCCCATGGGAGACCAGGATAAGTACCTGGCTCCTGGCTTCGGATCAGCACAGTGCGCTGGCCGCGGCGGCCATTGGAGGGTGAACCAACGGCAAAAGGAAGACCTTTCTCTCTGTCTCTCTCTCTCTCACTGTCCACTCTGCCTGTCAAAAAAAAAAAAAAAAAAAAAAAAAAAAAAAAAGCATTAAGAGTTAAAGCTGGCAAGAAAAGAGCCTGAATTTTATTTCCCATTGCATTCTTCATCATAAACTTTTTTTTTTTTCAAAAAGACTGAAACATAGAGAGCACATTTTCTTTCTTTTCTTTTCTTTTCTTTTTTTTTCTTTTTTTTTTTTGACAGGCAGAGTTAGATAGTGAGAGAGAGACAGAGAGAAATATCTTCCTTTTCCGTTGGTTCAACCCCCAAATGGCTGCTATGGCTGGCATGCTTCAGGCACGCTGCGCTGATCTGAAGCCAGGAGCAGGTGCTTCCTCCTGGTCTCCCATGCTGGTGCAGGTCCCAAGCACTTGGGCCATCCTCCATTGCACTCCCGGGCCACAGCAGAGAGCTGGACTGGAAGGGAAGCAACCGGGACAGAACCGGCGCCCCAGCTGGGACTAGAACCTGGAGTGCCAGCGACATAGGCGGAGGATTAGCAAAGTGAGCTGCGAGGCCGGCCTATTTTTGTTTTCTCAATGTCCTTTACTTACCTTGTTGGACACTTGGAGCATGGATGAGAGAATTCTATCATGATATTTTCTTAAAGTGTCCTTTCTAAATGTTCTCCTTTAAAGTTTTCATTTTGAGCAATGTAAACCCTCATGTGTGTAGAAATCACTCAACATTTTTACAGATACTACATTCCAGTAATGATTTTCAAAGATCACCAGTTATTTTGTAACTTAAATCCAAAGTTTTCTTAAATGCAGAAAATATTTAATTGAGAATAGATTATGAGTACAAACACATAAATGAAAGGGACTAGACTTATACACTTAAACACTCATATTTGATGAAATCTGCATATTCAAATGCACAAGATTATATTTTGCAAGAATTAAAAATGAAGTATGCATTTAGTATACATGAACAAATTTGATAATGTTCACTGAGCATCTACCATTTTATAGCTTCCAGCTACAAGATTGATACACTGTAATTCTTTTTATTTTCCCGATAACCTTGCACAGTTGGTGCCATTATACATGCATTTTATATATTAAAGGAAAAAAATCCTAGGAATCAAAGTCTTATGTGACTTTTCCATCATCACACAGAAAATGAATAGCATCACTGAAATTCAAAACAATCTGCCTGATGTCAAAGCATGATAATGGTAGAACAGATTTAAAGGGGCCAGTAGCAGAAATCTATGTCATGGTATGCAGCCAAGGGTTAGAGCCAGGTGAATAGTGGGCATCAGTGAATGAATGGGCATCAGTGAATTCCACGGTTTGTGTGCACACATGGTAGATGATTTTCCTATTCACAGATGGTACTTAAATAAGCAGTAGGATACAGGTTGGCTACAATAGTGGTCAAGACATTGTGAAAACACTCTCTTTCCTCTTTTTTCCCCTCCAGAAATAACGACAGGTAGTTTTAACTCAGTATTAGGCAATATCTTTACCTGTAACTGCACTGCATGCATCCAAAGTGATGAGTAATAAGTACAAGCCACCAGCTACAATGGCTGCTCACATACATCTCAACTCCACACCACCTTACAAACCAGCCCTGTCTCTCAGGACCACCTGGAATGGCAGCCAGAATTGTCAAGAGAAGCTTTGCTTTACTTTTTCTTGATTCATTTGAGAAGCAGAGAAAGAGAGAGCACACACTCATTCCCATCCACTGGTTCACGCCCCAAATGGTGGCAACAGCTGGGACTGATTGAAGCTAGGAGCCAGAATGCAATCCAGGTTTCCCACATGCGAGGCAGGGACCCAACCACTTGAGTTGCCGACTCTGCCTCTCAGGGTCTGCATTATCAGGAAGCTGAAATCAGTAGCTGAAACTAGGAATTGAACCCTGGAATTCTGATGTGGGATGTGGGCATCTTAACTGCTCACTGTCAAGATATTTTAAACTCTCCAGACCAACAGCTTATTGAATCAAAAGTGTCAGACTTTTTTAGGAATATGGGGAAAATGACAGGAATCAGATATAAAATGAGGAGCTCCATGGGAGCCCAATGCCTTACAGGACAGCAGGATAGTGCTGAATCTGTGGATGTCAGTCTTGAAAGAGAAAGGCAAAATATACCAGAAAAATATTTTATTGGTGTACAGTAACTAAGCTGTGCTTGAGTAAATTAATGTTCAATTAAGGGAAACATTTTGCCTTGAAAAAATGTTTCTTTCCCTCTACTGCTTCATTCTGATTTTTTTTCAGGAGAGGGCAGGGAGATATTTATAGGGAAAGGAGAAACAATTTGTGCCAAGAAAGCAAAGTGGGACTGCAAATGTTGTATAAAAACATAGAATGTGCTGTCCATGTAACTATGGGCAAATGACTTGATGTTTCTAAGGCTTGGTTCTACAGTTGGTACATTTGAAATAAAATATGAGTTTGGCAGAAAGGGTAATAAAACACTTGGAAGGTGCCTACCCCAAGTAAAAGTCAATTAATGCAATCATTATCCGTGTTGCTATGCTCAGGGGCTTAAGCAATCTTAAGGAATTACCATGAGATTAAGATGTGAGAGATTTAAATAAACAATCTATTTGTTCTTCCAAATATCATAGGAAACTTAGAGACAGGGTAAAGTACATATTTTGCTTTGGTCAGGAAATTTACGCGCTTGGACCAAACTAAAAAACCCTCTTTCCCAAATTGCTTCCTGATTCCTGGATTCAGGGTGGAAATCAACCTAGCATGACATCCACATCTGTACATGGCTAATAGGGACTCGAAACCCAGCCTGCCTAAAACACTGACTTTGCTTTCGTCTTCCGCACCACAGATTCCCCAGTTTTCTTCATCTTAGAATTTGATGCCTCTGCTTTCTCAATTGCTCAAAACAAAACTTGAGACTTGTCCTCAACTCTCTCGTGTCCTTCTAGTGCTTCAAAGGTGCATGTCAGCACACAATTGACTTTGTATCCAGAATAAGGGCATTTACGGAAACTAGCAGAACTAATGTCTGTTCCATGCTCACACAATGCCCACCACAATCGCTGAAGTACCCGCTTAACGGTCTTGCTGCCTCTCAAATTTCCTGTTCACGTGGCCCCCTCACCACCCACTTTTTAAAGCTTAAATCAGATCACATCAGTCTTGTTCCAAATCCTCCAGGGACATCATCACTTTGACTTTACATATGACACCCTAGCATTATCCCCTACAGTCTCTCTCTTTCATTCTTAAACCACATCAGTGCTGTTCTTGGAACATGACAATCATCTTCCCACACAGACTGTTCCTTCTGCTTAGAATAACTCCTTCTGGGGACCCATAGGGTTTATTTCATGCAGGTTTCTATATAAACAGATATCCATCTCCTTTCTGAGTAGCACAATCCTTTTCCATAAGGCTCTGTGGTCATTTTTTTTCGCCTGCCCTCCATATGGACTTATCACTTCAATATCTGTTGGTTGCTTGTGCCTTTATTTTTGTTTATTGCCTGTCTTCTCTCACTGAGTTGCAATCTCTATGAAAGCTTTTCTCTCTTTATTCACTGCCATACCCCTAAATGCTGAGAACACTGCCTGGTACATAGTTAAGTACCCAACATGTGTTTGTTGAATGGCCAAATAAAAGAATATTTTATATGTTTTCTATAATAGTAATACCTTCCACTTTAATAACTGACTACATTATTGATTTAATTACTCAATAATCTAACAATCTTAAATATTTAATTTGATATTTTAATTGCTTAAGCTTTGAAATAAGTTCAACTATTCAATCAATAATTTAATGTTAAGATATTTTTTCAAATATTAAATATTTCAATTATTAATTACTTCAATATTCATTTGTTTAATTCCTTAAAGAATAGAATTGCCCCATAAGGCTCTAGGTTTAAAGGCTAAAATACTAAACTAAGATATTAAAAAAGTAAATTCAATGTTTTCTTAAGAAAGTGTTTTTTCCTATGAGGTTCTAACCTTTCTCCATATAAAATCCTTTGATAGATTAATTAAGGCATTTAGCCAGTGGATTTTTTTCTGATTTCCACACATTTATTCCATGAGTATTTGTTGAGCATGTGCTGGGCACCACTATAACAAATACAAGCTTAAGACCGTGAGTGGCAAGGACAAAACTTCTCTTGGATTCACAGCACTGTAATCTATGCAAATGGGACCTCAGCTGAGTTGCACCAGAGCAGCAGAAAAAAAATATAGCCTTGTCCATTGTACATATTTAGTCCCCTGTGTTTTAAATAACACATAAGAAAATGTGTATCTTGTCGGCTTTTTATAAAAGGAAAGGCTTTAGCTTTCATTTGTCTCACTCCCACTTCATATCTTGCTGCTGCATGAGTACACAGTCATCTTGGAAATGCACAAGGCATTGGTTGCAGGACCCTCCTGAGGATGCCAAAGTTCATGGATCCCAAGTTCCTTATATGAAATGGTGCAGTGTTTGCATATAAGCTATGCACCTCCTCCTGGTTGATTTAAATCATCTCTAGTATAATGCTAAAACCTATTACAATACAACTGCTATGTAAATAGTTGTTCCAGTGTATTGTTTAGGGAATAATTACAAAAAAAAAATTCTTTACATGTTCAGTATAGAAGCATTTTTTTTTAAAATGCTCTCCATTCATGTTTAGTGCA